GTGTGATAAATCATTTCACTGCGTCGTTAACAGTATGCAAACTGGGGATTTTTTTTATTTTTTTTTTTATTTTTTTAGTAATTGTTCCTCACGTTGATGGAATTATATTGCGGCTACATGACCCCAACACACGAACCTAACCATGGTTATGTTAGATTTAGCTTATATAACAGTTATCTAACCATTATTTTATCTGGTGTATATAGGTTATTATGGTTATCTAACCGTTATGTTTTTTATTCAATGTGGTGTATGTAAGATTTAGTGTATATATCGGTTATCTAACCATCATCATGTCTGGTCTATATAGCAACGGTTTTATGACGAATATATAGCCGTTATGTTTCTTATACAATCTGACGCATGCTATATCCAGTTTATATATTACTTTGTGGTTATGTCCTGTGTATATAGCAAAGGTTATATAACGGCTAGAAGTATAACCGTTATGTTTGTTATACAATATGTTGCATGCTATATAGAAATGTAATGTTTTTTTAATGTAAATATGAATTTGTAAAAAAATACGATCTGCAAAGTATACTATTTTATAAATCTTATGCAAAAAGATATATAGGAGAAAAAAAATGGTTACATAAGTGCAATATGTTTATATTGTGTATAGAAAAGGTATAGAAAATTTAGGTAAGGAGATATAATAATAGCAATATAATTAAGTTATAAGGGCGGTTATAATAACCTTAATATAACCTAGCGCACGTAAACGTTAAATAACTAAATATAACCGAAATATAAGCAAGATATAAATATAACTTTTTCATTTGAACTTAACTCTGGTTATATAAAAGTTATATAACTGTTATTTAACTGTGCTACTAGGGCTGTAGGCAAGAAACCGTGTAGTTTGGAGCAGTTTCGAACAAAAAATAATCCGCTGCAATTACGATGATGACAATTTGCAACTTGTGTTGTTTTGGTAAGAAGAAATAGTTTTTTCATGAAATTTTCAGGCATACGGTGTTCCTATCAGCAACGGTGTGAAATGTAGTTTATTCTATCAAATTTTTCTAGGGTCCTTGTGTGTTTGTCACAGGACGTTCGTAACATAAAGCTTTGCTTTACAAGGATAGATTGGGTCCTTTCTACCTGACTCAACAGCAGTTATTGTGAATATTTGATGAGTGGGTTTTGCACCTTCGCATTGGTTTTATTTTAGCAATGTGTGATGTTAACGTCGATCATAAAATGTCGAAAGTTTGATTTTTAATTTAAGACGTGAAAATCGTGAAGCGTCGAGCGATAAATTTGGCCGAACTAGAATTAAATCAATGATCTCTGTTCGGGAAAGATTGATGAATAACTTTAACCTTTTCACTTCTTGATAAAAAGTTTCGAGCAGCATATTGTGCTATTTTCGCTCTATTATTCGATGGGATTTGAATCTGATTTTAATTTAAATTTATTATCGGGGGAGTTTGATACAAAAATTTTGTCGCTGATGAGCTGAAACTTTGGAAAGAATTTGTCGCTAATCCTTTTACCCTATTAGACGAGCATGAGGTTATAATCCTTTTGAATCCCCGGAGGATTATCGGAATGGATTTTGACTTTTTTCAACTTTCACTATTTCAGTCGTTTCTTGAGTTTTTCCCTTTTTGCACTTGATTAAGTAATTACGTGGAGCAAGAAATATTTAATGCGTTATGTAAAACGAGGAAAATTCCCGTTTCAAATCCTCTGCAGATCCTTAATCCGGTGTAATGAACGACTGGGCCATTATTTTAAACACTGATGTATCTGTGTGTCTCACCAAAACCCTAAAACGTCACACTGCGTGCTCCTTTTACTTAATAAACTCAAAATTATCCACCTTTCGATAAAAAATACAGTTAGTGTACTAAACAAACGAAAATAAATGTAGAAAACGCGCCCAAACGCAATCATTCTCTGTTGTGTGGTCATTCATTGAACCAGACATCGTTTGAATTGGAAATGCTCCCCTACACCGGTCAGCTTCGATCAATTCCAACCCATTGTTAGGGCAGAGAAAAAATTACAAAATTCGACCCAGTTTTCTCGCGCTAAACACCAACAATTTTCATCTAGAGCATCGCAAATATTTGCTTATTCTAAACAAACACACGTCAAAACATCTTGCAAATCGTACACAAAATTGAAACAATATTTTATTCCCGTTTCAATTTAAAACGGAACGTATTGAATTATTTCCAACACAATAAAACACAGACGAGTAAAATATGAAAACTATTTCGTTTTTACGCCGCGATCGAAGTTGGTGTCGCTCTCAATAATGCAAAAATCGTTTCAAAAATAACACTTTATCGTTCCCAAATAGATATACTCTAGTAATAGAGTTATATAACGGTTATGTAACCATTGAATATAACCGGTGGCTCAAAAATGTGACGCCTTTTTTAGATAATTGTTATATAAACAGGGTTAGGTTCAAAGGGAAATGTTATATAAGGTGCGCCAGAACTCACGCTCCAAAGAAAAATTTCATATAAGATCAGATACCAGGAACTAGGAAAAAATTCTATCTGTCAAAAAAATTTGACATTTTTTTATGTATATTTATTCTTGTATATGTTTTTTTACAATTTTTTAGTAAGGGTACAAAAGTTTTGCCAATAAAAGCCACAAATAACATTGAACAGAATTACAATTTAAGATACAGCTTTCTTGTTTCCTCTTATAATAGGAGTAAAAAAACTTTGAAAATCATTTTTCCAACAGACATAGAAAGAGTTTTAAATTTAAACTCTTATAACTTCGAAATTTTTATAGATAAAATTTTTTTAACATTTTTTCTATGTTCCTGGTATTTTACTTTATATGGCATTTTTTTCTGGGGCGCAAGTTTTGGCGCACCTGTATACTCGTGGTTATATTTCGCTTATATAGCTTCCTTAAGATTTTGCTTATATTGCGTTTCATGAGTCTTAAATAGATATTATCTCTAGTAACACAGTTATATAACGGTTATATAACCATTCAATACAACCTTTGACTCGAAAATGTGACGCCTTTTTTAGATAATTGTTGTATAAACAGGGTTAGGTTTAAAGGGAAATGTTATATAATTAATATATACTCGTGGTTATATTTTGCTTCCTTAACATTTCGCTTATATTTCGGTTATATTTAGTTATCGAAACTTTATATACGCAAGATTATTTTTTGGGTATATTATCTCCTTTATTGCAGTTATATTTTGTTATATAACTTTTATATACGCGTGATTATATAACCATTATCACAAATTTTTTATAAAAATTTAGATTTATTGTAGATCATAAAATTTATTAGAAATTAATATTCATAGAAAAAAATACTTTATATTTTTTGATCCCTTTTGTTGATTTTCTCGAAAAGAGTTCTAGAAAACTTTTTGGTAGCGACTCTTGCAAAAAACTTATGTAAAAAAGAAATACACCATAAAATAAACATTATTTTACATTTACAATACAATACAAAAAAAGGTAATAAACTGATATTTAAACTGGATAAAGCATGAGTCAAATTTTATAAGAAACATAACGGTTATATATATATCTGTTATAAAACCGTAGCTAGATACGTCAGACATAACCCTGGTAGGTAACCATAAAAACTGAATAATATAATTCTGATAATATACAAACTGAACTGAACTGAACTGAACAAACGTTATTTTTTGTAACAAATATAAGGGTTATATATCCGTTATATAACTCTTACTATATACGCCATGCATAATCATGGTTAGATAACCGAGATAGAAGTAACATCTAACATACGCTATATTGCATAACAAAGACAACGGTTAGGTATCTGTTGTATTACCTTTGTTATGTACGCTAAATCTATACTTGTTATATAGACAATGTTATACAGGATGTACGGTCCAAGTCGCCCCGGCTGATAACACCTAAACTTACTTATTTTTTTCAAAAAGTAAAGATTTAAGTAACAATATTCATTCTTGGCTTTCTTAATAAATGTATCAAATTTTTTTAGCACATTCGGTGTTACCGAAAATGCTACCAAATTTAGTTTTTCAAATAGAACACCTAGTTTTTTTCTCCAAACAATAATAATTGACATGAAAAATACTGTAAACCACTATTTATTACATTTTGCGTAACACAATGCAATCAAAAAACATCTTAAATCTTAGAATTTTATAAGGAAATTGGTCGCATAGTCGGATTTTTTATTTTAAAGGAAAGGTGTGAATAAAAAATGCTTGGATACAGTTTAATTGTTGGTTTGACAAATCTAATTTGTCAGTTGATGAGCGAGTTCTCTTATGGAAACTCTTGGATTTTTTTCGACTGATAACAAAACATTCAGATTTATATTTTCTTGTTCTTCACAAAGAACCACAGGATTTATAGTTTTAAAAAGCGAACCTGTTTGTCTCAGTTGTTTTTCAATTCGACTAAATTTTCAACGATTTGGGTAAACTCTATTTGAGTAGTTTTGTCTATACCGTCTTTCAGCTTCCGCTCTATTTTTATTGCACTTAAAATACACTTCATTATTAAAGATCTCAATAAGATTTAGGCTTTGTCAAACTAACAATTAAACCATAGGTGTTCCACTTGAAAAACTAAATTTGGTAGCATTTCCGGCTACACCGGATGTACCAAAAAAATTTGATGCATTTACTAAGAAAACAAGGACTAAATAGTATTATTTGAAAAATTAGTTTTTGAAAAAAAAAGTAAGTTTAGGTGTTATCGGCCGGGGCGACTTGGACCGAACACCCTGTTTAAGCTGAATCTAACATAACCGTGGTTAGGTTCGTACATTGCTGTTATACAGGGTGTTAAAAAAGATTTTAAAATAAAACGGTTACTTTGCGGACCCATGTTCATTGAAATTTTTGTTTATTTTGGTCCATACTAATACCATCTTAAATATTTTACAATCTTTTTTTAACACCTTGTATAGCCGCAATGTAATTCCGTTGTAGGGTAAAAATATCTTAAATGGAAAGAGTTGGAAAAAACTAAATGTTGAATTTGTTTCAGGATCGAGTGATGGAAAATGTGGGTTTATTGTTTGGTCTTGCTTGGAGTCCTCGTCGAAAGCAGCAGCTCTTGCCCCGTGTCTTGTTCCTGCAAGTGGAAGAATGGCAAGCAAACAGTGATTTGTTCCGGTAAAAGTCTCCCCGACATCCCCGACGGTTTGGATCCGGGTACTCAAGTCCTGGATTTCTCCGGCAACTTCCTCAGCAATCTCCGTCGCGAGCTATTCAGTAACAAACAACTGATTAACTTGCAGCGCATTTACTTGTCCAATTGTCAAATAAAAATAATAAACGAGAAAACTTTCAAGGGTTTGTCAAACTTGGTCGAGCTTGATCTCTCTCGGAATTTGCTCGAGACGGTGCCTACGAGTTCGTTTGTGGACTGTCCTTCTTTAATGCGTCTAACTTTAAGTTCGAACCCTTTAACGGTTTTAAACCGACTGGCTTTCAATCATTTATCGTATCTCAGCACACTCGAGCTTGATAAATGCAAAATTGCGGAGATTGAAGATGGGGCTTTTGAAGGTTTGCACAGCTTGGAGTGGCTACTTCTGGAAGATAATAGTTTGAGGACGCTTCGGGGGGAATTACCGCGGAATTTGAAGGGTGTGGAGTTGCGGGGGAACCCCTGGGAGTGCGATTGCCACATTAAGGAGTTGCACACGTGGTTGGGGAGGTCCAATGTGCCCATCTCCGAGGAGCCGACTTGTGTTGGCCCTCCGCGACTCTCGTCCCGGGTTATTAAATCGATACCGGTCTCGGAACTCGCTTGTCTCCCTGACGTATCCCCCACGACGTTTTATCTCGAATTGGCCGAAGGCAAGAACGTATCTCTGCAATGCCACGTGCATTCCATCCCGGAAGCTTCCGTTTCGTGGTGGTTCCGCGGACAGATCCTCCAGAACAATACCATCGTGTCCCCGGGAATCCACTTGATTTACTTCGTCGAGGAGGGCGCGGAGAACAAGCGCAGTGAACTGTTCATCTATAACGCCAACTCGGAAGACAATGGTACATTTATCTGTAACGCTGAAAACGCCGCTGGAACATCGCAATCGAATTTTACAATCAAGATAATTATTAAAGAAGATCCGATTGTAATTATCGTTGAGTTTCCTTTCGAATGTCTCCTAGCGGCGGCGATCGGAGCTGTCGTTTTAGCCCTCCTAATAATCTCCGGTATTATCATATCGATCCTGAGATGCAAACGCCGGAAAGAACCCTTGGATGAGAAAGCCCCCGATGAGGACACTCACCCCAAACCCAATCCCGAAGAGGAGACGTTTTACGTCTGCGAGGATCACCCGGTGGCTAATCAGAGTCCAACTCTCTTCCAGGACCAAAACCCCGACCTTATCAACCATCGATGGCTCGACTCCGAAGGCTACCCCCTCGACTATGGCCTTCCCAAACTCCCCACGAATTATTACCGAACTTTGCCAAATCGGCCCAAACGACAATCAAGACCGATGAGATACTCGCAAGAAGCCGAATTTTTAGCCTATGATCATTACCATTCCGATGTCCGATACACGGCTGATGGGTATCCAGTCCCGCCAAATGATGTCGCTCCGTGTTGTTCGATCCAATGGCCGGTTTGTGTCCCCGCTAATCTACATATGGTTAATAATAATCCCAATGAGGCGGTTTATGAGCCGTCGAGCGCAGTTATCAAACGCTGCGTCGGAGCGCAAACCGAAGATGAGAAGATTGATTCCAATGAAGGTGGGAATGAAACGATGACGGAGAGTCCAGATGAGGGCTATGAGGGAGAACCGGCGGTTGTATAGTGGTAAAAAGGCGATTGCAATCACAGGGTAATGTCCTAGTTAGGTTTTGTATCCAAGTTTTGAAATATTGAGTAATGCTAAAACGGGGATGTTGTGCGGTTTTTTACTTCTTAGTTAATTACTCAATATTTTGAACCGTTTCCAAATTCATGCAATAAATTATGATATTACCATAATTTGTAGAGTGAATATTGGTCCACAAGCTGTATTATCAGCGTCGAATTCAAATAGTGTTTACCGAAACATTAACATATTATTTTAGTTTAAAACTAAATAGAAATTTTAACACATAGAATATTTTTACTTAAATATGTTGATAATTAAAAAAGTAAAAGTTTTATCTCTGCAATTGATTATTTATGATTAATAGTTTTTATCATTTCAAAATAAAAAAAATTATTACGAAATTTTTAATTAAGCGATGAAAAAAAAATTTGATTGTTAACTTAATTTTTTCGGACTGAAACATCAAAATTAAATAAAAAAAAACGAAAATTGTGTGTTTTGCAACATAATAGTCCATTATGTTGTTAGGAGTAAAAGTGATGTGATGAAGCTTAACGTTTATTTTACCGAACGTAGTGAGGCAAAAAGTTCATCTGAGCCACGTAAACTTCGAATAACACGTACTATTTTATTCGCAAACGTACTCAAAATGAGAGTAAAGAGTAACAGTTAATTAGCAAGTAAATGAACAAAATAATCAGGACGCTTTGCAATGAAAACATAACAAACGTCACGCGTCACTATTGGAATTTTTATTGAAATTTTTGAAAGTATTTATTGATACAGTTAGTAGTGCAAAATGTCAAATGCTATAATGTACCTCTTCAGAAACTAATAAAACAGAGAAAGAAACAACATTGGTAAATGTCATGGTAAAATAAAAATGATTTAGCGCAAAAATAGAATTTTTACTCCATGACTGAAAGTAAAACTTTTTTGTATGATATTTGGTCATAAAAGTGTTCACTTTTGCGACATTTGCCGATAAAACATTATACAGTTAATGCTAAAATGTTAAAAAATTCTATCTATAAAAATTTCGAAGTTATGAGAGTTTAAATTTTGCACTTTATTTATTTCTGTTGAAAAAATTATTTTCCAAGTTTTTTTGCCACAGGTTATTAGAAGAGGAAAGAAGGAAGCTGTCTCTGTTTAATGTTATTTCTGGCCTTTATTGGCAAAAGTTTTGTATCTTTACTAAATAATAATAAAAAAAAATTATACAAGATCATTAGTATCATTAACTAGACATAAAAAAAAATGTCAAATGTCAAAAATAAATCTCAAAAATTTTTGACAGTTAGAATTTTTTTCATGTTCCTGGTATCTTATCTTACTTGAAATTTTTCTCTGGGGTGCGAGTTCTGGCGCAGCCTGTATTTTGCCTTCTGTGATTATTTATTCACAAATAAGTAAATTTTTCCAGTTTCACAAATAAAAAAATTGTTATAAATTATTATCAGTTAATGTTTATCTACTTTAGAAAAAAAGGATTTGTTTCGAAATTTTCACATGTATGTGTGGAAGACCCAGAAAAAAGTGATTTTAACTATTGATTTTATGATTACTAGTAAATTTTTATACAGAAAAATAAGTCTCTGTTATTTAGGCAATTAGGGAAATTAAAAAAAAACTATATTTGGTAAAATTATAACTTGACTTCTTTGATTATTTGTTTGCAATTAAGTAAATTAGTTACCTTTTT